AATTTTCTAAAAATAATTGATTTACAGACTCAGTTTTTTGTCAGTCTGCAGAAATAGATATTTAGTAGGACAACTGTTTCAATATCATTAAGTCATAATGTATACTGCACTTCAAAAGCTATAATTTTAATATGTACATATTTTACCATACAATTCTTAATTGGAAGGTAATACGTCAGTAAAGTAACAGTCACTTAACAAAGGAAAAACATTCTCTCTGATAACTTTTCAGAAAGCTGTCACTAGAATGGGGTCATATAGACCCTAAGATCCTAAATATTTCACAAGAACAGGCTTTTTCTGTTATGCACATTGAGATGTACATCCATATCCCCAATTGTGACAGCTTTACTACTGCAAATATATATCAAGATTGAAAAATGGCATTATAAATAGGTTAAAATTGTTTATTACCATTTATCTGAAGTTCAGTTTGTCAAAATTTCTTCAAAATACATAACTGGTTATATTTTAACATTGTATGACAATTTTTATGTGGTACAGTTTATATTTTGTTAACTGATTGAAAAGTGGTTGTGAAATTTTGAAGAACAAGAAAATGGGTCAATAATGATTTGTCCTCGATTCATAATAATAATTCAGGTAAAATTTTTAAAAGTTTTTGCATTTATTAGCTGAAATGATAATATTTGCAGAATTGTAAGAGAAATTTTATTTTTATAATTTCACTGTCAGTTATTATAGAAAAAACTGTTAGCTGATCGGAAAGAGGCAGTACGGGGATATGAATTAAATCATTAAATGTATAAGTGAGATGAACCAGAATTTGTTTATACTAAGTTGTTCTAGATATTTAAGAGAAAACTGAACTTGACCGAACTATTGAACTATCTATATTTGTATATAAACTGTTTTAGTGTTTAATTGCTTGTGGTCTGTTTGACCCAATATTAAAATAGTGTGTAACTGGAACTCTGTCTTATGTTGTCCATTTATATATAATTAGTCCCACTAACTCCAAAGAAATTGGAGTTCATGTTATAACCTTTTGAAATCAATACATCCTGACATTTACCTGATTGATTGAAAAAGGGGCATAACAATACCACAGAGAGGGAATCTTGATCTTATCTTCCTACACATTTCTTACTTTGCCTAAATAATTGTAAAGAAACTTTCTACTGAAAGAAATATAAATTGGCAGCTGCATATCATCAATATTAATTTAAAAGTTTTAGATTCCTATATCATGTCACAATTATACTCTGATTTTATTTAGAACTGTCTAATTTTAATATAGGGGATTTAAATGCATTCGAAAGCCCTAAAATTATACAAGTTTGAGTTTCTGCAGAAAATAAATTTCATGAAACAATCTTAAATCTTGTACTTGTCAACAAATCATTTTGGTACAGAAGTTTCTAAAGAAGAAGATACTAATTGCAGACACCCTTAAAGAATTATAAGTAACCAGTTGACTGATTTTTGTTTGACCACATAGGAAAGTTCTTCCTCTTTAAAGGCCCAATTCATGCCTCAGAAATGCTAATATTCTTATTCCTAAAAATCTTTTCATTTTTGGAGTGCTTTCATAGTTTCCAAAAAGTTACTCATTGGCCAATAATAGGAACCTTCATCTGTTGGTTTAAGGCAATTAGAAAAGTAATAGTGATTAAGCATTTTGTATGGAAGTCAAAAAACTACTTTGTTTAGATTTTGCTACATTTAAGACAAATTATTTCACATTTATCTCTATTTTCTTTAGGTATCAAGAATTTTACATGCTCTAAAACCATTATTCAAATATTATTTAATACATACATTGTATTTGCCCTTTCTAAAGAAGTAAACAAATTTTTGTTTCAGAAAGGTAACAGAATGAATTACATAACTAAACATTATTTCACATTAACTTGTAAAACTACAAGTACTAAACAAACATTAATTCAAGTTTGTTTCATAAAGCATGTAAATACAATCCTTGATTGCCTAAAGCACATAAACAGGTCAATTATAGCAATTTAAAAGCAAGATTTAACTTGGAAAAAAAATGCTGAAATAGCCAATCTAAAAATCAAATTATTTTTAGCTCACAAGTTTATATTGCAGCATTTAACACAAATAATTTGTCTTGAAATATGTTCTTCCTTGAAGTCAAATTTGAAATGAAACGATGCTTGAAAAGCCTATGATATCTGATTTAAATCTTGTACAATTCTACAGCAATTCAATGATGCATGAAATATACCGTTTCTTCAATACCTAATTCAATTCTCAGACAAAATCATGCATTCTGCCATAAAATTTTATATTATACGTTTAACTGGTTCCAGAGATAAATAACATCATCTCCCAGGGTTTTATCAGAAAACTTTAAAACAAGACTGATCATGCAAGTTATAACAGAAGAAAATCAGCCTAGAAACAAGAATGGATGTATTTTTTTTCTTTCCTAAGGTGTATGCTTAAGTTTCATATTAAAACGGAACAAGGGGGCCATTGGCCCAAATGCACTCACCTGAGTACTAAATGCAATTGTTATACAAAAGTGAAGTTACCAGGTCTTAAAAATATACAAAACAGGGTTAATTTTTATTTGTTTGGGTCGTCAGACCAAACAAATAATGGTAGCGAAATTTCAGAGTCTAATGCTGTTAATTGCAGATGCCGAAAGTAGTCCACTTTTTTGAAGCGGTTACTTCCCTTTATATGTACACTAACGCCGAAAAATTCAGGGGAGATCACTGCGTAAAGATGGTCAAAGACAGGCACATTAATTTTCAAGCAAAATTATTCCCGAATGGTCAAAGATTTCTAATATTGTTTTATTGTATTTTCTGATCGAAAATAAGTAAATACAAAGCGGACATTCAATCTCTGACACAGAAGTTTACGACAAACCTAACAACAAGTAGTTCTCAAAACAGCTTAAAACTAGCGATTTAAAAGAAAGAAATATTTTTATTTTGTTAAAAGTATCCAACAAATTACAATGCATTCAAAGTTTAAAAATAGCGTTGGCTTATAGAATTGTCAATAAATGCACAATCACAAATTACGCGGATGAATATGATTTTATCAATGAAAATACTATTTTTAGCGATGTCGATTACCGAATACTACACAAACCGAATAGTGGAATATATAGATTCTACATGTCGGACTGCTTGGGCGAGAAGATTTTCGCTAAATTATTTACTTCAATTTTAAACAACTGGTTTATCCTGAACAAAATACCTCGAAATTAATAAGGATTACAAACCCGAAATGCAATGGAAGTTCTAAATTAAGAATGACTTGATGTTATTCAGGCATTGTTTGTGTAACTTTTCTGTGGTGCAGGGGTAACGCGCTCGCTTAGTGAGTGAGAGGTCTGGAGTTCAAATCCCAGTTGAGGAAATTTTTTTTTAAATTCTTTTCTAAGTGTCTTTGTTGAAGAAGTAGCCATGATATGCAAGGATAAAGTGTAGCTGTCGTAAAAAATGAACATAAAGGATATTTTGATGCAACTCTAGTTATGCAGAATTTCATATGTATCAAACTCTGGTGCATTGCAAAATGAATTATAATACATAAAAAAAAAACTTATACAGGGAAATACATACAGATATACAGTACGTTTTAGATAGCAAAGATCAGAAAATACCACAGAACTTGCAGCCCTTTGATTCTTTATAAATATACATGCTTATAGTAAGCTCCAGGATTATTTACATCTGTGTGAAACAACAGTTAAAGTCGTTACAAGCCCTAATTTAGAATAATATGGTTTTCTTCAGGCCGTTCACATATAAATTCACCGTGGCTGAAGGGTTTTCGCGCTCGCTTAGGAAGCGACAGGTCTGGAGTTCAAATCTCAGTAAAGGCAACTCACTTTTGTTTTCAAATTGTATAAGTCAAATAAACATTGGATTGAATATCAGTGTTGAAATTAGTCTTACAGCCAATTTACTACAATTTAAACGCTGGAAAGCATTGGTGGCACTATACATATAATCTCACAACCTGTACCTTTCTTACATTCTGAGACCCAAACAAATTCAGCGCCTTCTGTGCTTTGATTTTGTGTAGGTAAGCAGTTGATGTTTAAGACAGTACACCAAGAACTTTAGAGTTATGATCAATGTTGAAGTTTGTGAATGGGAACAGTTTTTACTATATACATATAAGGAAAACCTATGACCCTGGGGTGGGGCCAATTTTGACCCCAGAGCTATAATTTGAACACCTTTGGAAGAGGACCTATAGGTGATATTACATACAATATATCTAAGTTCTAAGCAAACAAGAAGGTTTTTTTAAGTTTTTACTATATACATATAAGGAAAACATATGATCCCCCCTGGGACTGGGCCATTTTTGACCCCAGGAATATAATTTGAATAACTTTGGTAGAGGACCTATAAGTGATATCATATACTAAATATCAAAGCTCTAGGCCTTGTACTTTCAGACAAGGATATTTTTTTAAGTTTGCATTTTTTAAACTCCTTTTCTAGCCCCTTGACCTACTAATGCAACAGACTGGAACCATTTGAACAACTTTGGCAGGGTACCACCCGAGGATCATTCCTGTAAAGTTTGGTTACTGTGCTGTCATTGGATTTTGAGGAGATGTTGTATAAAGAAATTGTTGGCGACACATGACGAACAGTGGGGGATCATAATAGCTCACCATGAGCATGTTGTGCTCAGGTGAGCTAAAAATATGGGAGTCACCATGCTTGATGTCCAGTTACATATATCTGTACCACAGAGCTTTTAATATGTATTATTTTAATTTTTTTATATTAAGTGATACCACAAGAATTGAAACTGATAATAATACAACCATTAACCTAGTTTCCAAGACTTTAATATAAAGTGAAATTATTTGTTTCTGGAAATTGAGTACTGGACAACATTAAAAATTTTGCAGACAAAAACAATGTTGCAGCAATCATAATAGCTTGACTTTTTCTTCAAAACAGACCAGCTAAAAATTCCCTCATGATTTAGATACTACACAGGACTATAAACAAGATATATAAGAAGTTTGTTAAATAAACACCAATTACCTGGTACACACTGGTTTTCTGGCTCGCTCATTTTGGACAGCATCAAAGAAAGCAGCATTCCAAAACCTGAGAGACCGCCATATAGGCTGTTCTCTTAAATAACTATACAGAAAATTCTTGTACCGGTGGCGGCCATGCTGAGCTGAAAAATAAAATATGCAAATTAACTAAAAAGCTGCTAAATTTCTGTAATACACCTAACCTGCATTGATTTTATAACCACTTCTTCAATGTCTAACTTAGTCTGGAAACAAGCCTGCTTTGATTTTATAACCATCTTTTGTTCAAGTTACTTCTTCAAAGTCTAACTTAGCCTGGAAACAAGCCTGCTATGATTTTATAACCATCTATTGTTCAAGTTACTTCTTCAAAGTCTACCTTAGCCTGGAAACAAGCCTGCTTTGAGTTTATAACCATCTATTGTTCAAGTTACTTCTTCAAAGTCCAACTTAGTTTGGAAACAAGCCTGCTTTGAGTTTATAACCATCTATTGTTCAAGTTACTTCTTCAAAGTCCAACTTAGCCTGGAAACAAGCCTGCTTTGAGTTTATAACCATCTATTGTTCAAGTTACTTCTTCAAAGTCCGACTTAGTCTGGAAACAAGCCTGCTTTGAGTTTATAACCATCTATTGTTCAAGTTACTTCTTCAAAGTCCGACTTAGTCTGGAAACAAGCCTGCTTTGAGTTTATAACCATCTATTGTTCAAGTGACTTCTTTAAAGTCCAACTTAGTCTGGAAACAAGCCTGCTTTGAGTTTATAACCATCTATTGTTCAAGTTACTTCTTCAAAGTCCAACTAAGTCTGGAAACAAGCCTGCTTTGAGTTTATAGCCATCTATTGTTCAAGTTACTTCTTCAAAGTCCAACTTAGTCTGGAAACAAGCCTGCTTTGAGTTTATAGCCATCTATTGTTGAAGTTACTTCTTCAAAGTCCAACTTAGTCTGGAAACAAGCCTGCTTTGAGTTTATAGCCATCTATTGTTCAAGTTACTTCTTCAAAGTCCAACTTAGTCTGGAAACAAGCCTGCTTTGAGTTTATAGCCATCTATTGTTCAAGTTACTTCTTCAAAGTCCAACTTAGCCTGGAAACAAGCCTGCTTTAATTTTATAACCATCTATTGTTCAAGTTACTTCTTCAAAGTCTAACTTAGTCTGGAAACAAGCCTGCTTTGAGTTTATAACCATCTATTGTTCAAGTGACTTCTTCAAAGTCTAACTTAGCCTGGAAACAAGCCTGCTTTGAGTTTATAACCATCTATTGTTCAAGTTACTTCTTCAAAGTCCGACTTAGTCTGGAAACAAGCCTGCTCTTTGAGTTTATAACCATCTATTGTTGAAGTTACTTCTTCAAAGTCTAACTTAGCGTGGAAACAAGCCTGCTCTTTGAGTTTATAACCATCTATTGTTCAAGTTACTTCTTCAAAGTCTAACTTAGCGTGGAAACAAGCCTGCTTTGAGTTTATAACCATCTATTGTTGAAGTTACTTCTTCAAAGTCTAACTTAGCCTGGAAACAAGCCTGCTTTGAGTTTATAACCATCTATTGTTCAAGTTACTTCTTCAAAGTCTAACTTAGCCTGGAAACAAACCTGCTTTGAGTTTATAACCATCTATTGTTGAAGTTACTTCTTCAAAGTCTAACTTAGTCTGGAAACAAACCTGCTTTGATTTTATAACCATCTATTGTTAAAGTTACTTCTTCAAAGTCTAAGTTGGCATGGAAACAAGCCTATATGCATATGCAGATCCAGAATTTTTTTTCTAGAGGCAGTCATAATATTTCCACAAGGGGTTATGCATATTCTGAAGACGTTTTGCATTTTACTAGTTTTCATGGTGGGAGGGGGTAATAAGTCATTTCTTTTCCTGATTTTTATTAATGCAAGTTATTTTTTAAAAGCCAAATTTCGTGGCATGTCATGACCCTCCCATGCCATCTGATCTCAGGTACCGGTATATTTTATTCTATCGTAAAAGTATCTCATATAACTTACTCCGAAATACATTAACACATTTATTTCTTCAAGTAGGAATGACCGAACCTTGTGTTGACAAGGTTTCGTGAAACATCAATAAATAATGACATCAATATGACAATAAGACACTCTTGACTTTTCCTTTGAATATAAGAGAACAAATTGTTGTTGTCAGCTACAGCAAGACCTCATGTGTTCCGTATAATATAATATATTATTTCAAGCAATAATTATTAGCGCTTGATTAGAACTTTTGTATGGCAAGTAAATAGCTTCCTCATATGGAAGAATTGGGCATCACCCGTATGATATAAATTCACCGCAATAGTGTGCTAGTGATAAAAGTCAATGACTTCTAATCACCTGGCAATAATATCATCATTTGTCATAGTTAGTCACAGTTGATTTGTGCTCTGTTTTCTTGAAAAAACAACATTTAAAACTGAACCATATTTTTGTACAGAGAGACAGAGAGTCGATAAATTCAGGGGGTCACTCAGGCAGTCTCGACTGTACTCTGTTATTGCTTTTTTTTAAAGTCACATGGACACTATTAAGGTCATACGACAACTATCCAGCTTTACTGGCGGAGGACGACCTCAACTGCCCCTAAATGCAATATTTCAGGCTAAACCCAAGAGTTTATATATAAAATTTTCTTACATTCATGGTAAAAAGTGAAGCACATATTCATGAGGTTTTTGGCGGGAACAAAGTCTTCTGCTTCGTTACATTCAAACAGCACCACAGCAAAATATTGCACCAGACGGAAAAATATTGATTCATCAACCTTTTTGGAAATCACTCTCTGAAATAAGAAAATTATATACATCAAGTGTCTCTAATATTTACATATCACTGTCAACTGCCACCCACAAAAAAGGACAAAAACTTGTCACCTGTCTAATTACATGAGAGATGTAGACAATTTTGTGTTATCAAGCAGACAGAATAAAATAAAACCTGAAACATGTATGTAACTTTTTTTAAGGATAAAAATAATCATCTGTCTAAATTACAAGGAAGATACTGACAAAGTCGTGTTAGGATCCAGACAAGATGAAAATGAAGAAAGCTCTAGATTAGACTGCTGCGAAAACCAGACAACTAAATCATGGTTTAAATGCCATCCTGAGTCAATGTTGAATGTATTTAAAGCTTATCTCTATTTATTTCCATCTCTTTCACCAGATTTATTTTACCTATTTTAATGTAACATGCACTAGCAGCTGAGCATTATTCCTTCTCTGTTACGCAGTGTCCCAGGAAGAGATTTCATCTAAAGATAATTTCTATAGGTAATTAAATTATAAGGTGATAAGGTATATAAGTTATGACTTTATTTAATGAAACTTTGGCAGTAGCTTGCAATTACCACTAACATCCATGAACAGGCTCAATCAAACCGAGCCAGCAACATTTTCAATTTTGCCACTTTGGGTGTTCTTTAGGGAATCCATATGTCTGTATTAACATTTTTGGTTTTCCAATCTATGTTGGCCTCAGGATATACATAACAAAGTCACTTTGATCTCATCAGATGTTTTGAAATTATTTCACCCATGCCTCTTGTCCTAGTAACAAAGTTGCTAAGGATCTAGTCCACAGTGAGGCATGATATATCCAAACACATCTATATATATACCATATACCAGTACCACTCAAAGGTTTTCTTTATTTATCATATAAATGTGTTATTAGTCATATCATTATACATTGTATAATATCATAAAAACAAGAGGGCCATGATCGACCTGAGGTCGCTCACCTGTATATAGGCCCCCGGAGCTGGGCCAGTTTAAACCCCAGGGCTTTTATTTGAACAGACTCGGAAGAGTCACCCATTAGTCACCCCCCCCCATCGGCAGGGCCAATTTTAACCCAAGGGCTTTTATTTGAACAAACTTGGTAGACACCCATAAGAAGATGTTTTCATGCTAAACATCTTAGCTCTAACTCATTGGGTTTTTTAAAAGAAGATTTTTAAGTTTTTACTATACACATATAGTTAAAAACAATGACACCACTGGGGCGGGGCCAGTTTTGACCCCAAGGCTTTATCTGAACAAAATTTGTAGACACTTGCTAGAAGATATTTCATGCTTAATATCTAAACTCTACCTATTTGGGTTTTTTTCAAAGAAGATTTTTAAGTTTTTGCTATACACATATAAGGAAAATCAATGACCCCCGGGGCCGGGCCAATTTGACCCAAGGGCTTTTATTTAAACAAACTTGGTAGACACCCATTAGAACATGTTTCATACTAAATATCTTAGCTCTAGCTCTTTGAGTTCTTTAAAAGAAGATTTTTTAAGTTTTTACTATATGCATATAGGGAAAATCAATGACCCCCTGGGGCGGGGTCAATTTTGACCCCAGGGCTTTTATTTGAACAAACTTGGTAGACACCCATTAGAAGATGTTTCATGCTAAATATCTTAGCTCTAGCTCTTTGAGTTCTTTAAAAGAAGTTTTTTTAAGTTTTTACTAATTATGCATATAGTGAAAATCAATGACCCCCTGGGGCGGGGCCAATTTTGAACCCAGGGCTTTTATTTGAACAAACTTGGTAGACACTCACTAGAAGATGTTTCATGTCAAATATCTAAGCTCTAGCTCTTAGGGTTTTTTAAAAGAAGATATTTAAAGTTTTTTCATTATGATCTGCCTTATGGTTTCAGAGAAGATGTCGTTTTAAAAGTGTGAACGGACAACGGACGACGTACAACGGACGAAGAGTGATCCTAATAGCTCACCCTGAGCATATGCTCAGGTGAGCTTAAAATAATATATAAAATCTGGGATCCATTTGCTTAAGAATGTCTTGGAAGACTATGGCATTGTCAAATGATTAACTTTATGACTGGCAAAGTGAGATACATATACCATGAAAAAAGAACAAGAAGAAATTTTAAAATGCTTTCAAAACATTTGATTTTACAGTGTCATACGGTAAAACATGTGAAATGTTAATCTTTCTTTATGTGGATGAGATGAGGAAATACTGAAAATTTAAAAAATATGCTTAAATATTTCACTGTATCATCCATAAATAGTGTGATAGTGTGCCGTAACATTTCCTTTATTCACCAGAATGACAAGATAATTTCCCTAGAGAGGAGAAACAGACAAGTTGTACAGCTAAAATACAATAAAATAACAAATTGTTATTCATAGTCCTTCATGATCCACACCAAAATAGCTTATATTTTACATCAAGAACAATAAAATATACATCAGTTCTCATTATTTGTGACCAATCCTAGATACAGTTCATCTTAAACCTTTTAAATTGTTTAAAATTAGCATTCTTACAAAACGACAGAATACCAACTGCGTATTAATACAAATAATCAAAAGGGTATTTTTTTACCATTATCCTAAATATTCGAATTGTTGACAGAGATAAGACTGCTGGTTTACCACTGTTTTGTCTTCGAGGCATCAAATGCAAATAAAGATGTGGCAAGGGAAAGGTGAATGAACAAATAATCAAATTGGGTTGAACAGTTAGGGATATAATTGTTACATACCTGTGCATTCACATATCTTGCAAACCACTGCCTCCCAGGAACTTGCTGCAAAAAATAAAATATCATAAATTTCTAAAGAGTTCCTTTTAAAATCTTATTAAGTCTGGTCTATCTTGAGGTAAAATATAATTTGTTTCCAAAGATTTGCTTAGAGGGATATTCAGGCAAAATAATGACAAAACGATCAAAATGATCTTATGTACTCAAATCACGCTAAAATGACATTTTTTTAAGTTCCAACATGATTTTCTGTTTAAATTCTACATATTTTGGGTTTGAAGCGTAAATATATCTATTTAATTGAACAAATTTTAGACGGCAATAAAATCCCCGAAGAGTTTAAAACAAGTCATGGCACTTGAACAAACCCTTGAAGTTACAATAACAGATATTGTGGAAACAAGTCTAAGTCATTCTTTTGACATGTTCTTTAACGTTTCCAGAGTTCACCGTGACAACTTTTGTGAAATTCTAGTGCTCTAACCTGACCTGGGTCATTAGTTAGGAAACCACCATTTTATTCTTTATATGGCGAAAAGTTTTATTCTTTTGGCTGTCTAATGTATTCATTTTGGGGGCATTTACAGAATAATGAATGAAACATCCAAAACTAAGAAATGAAAATTTTGCCTGTGTCTCCCTTTAAAGTGACTCAACTGTGGTTTTTTTATATGACAGAACTGGAAATAATTTTTGAAGATTAATGCTCCATTTGATGTAGGTCTGGACCATTAACTTGTGTGCAAAATTTTAGATCATTCACATACTCTAGTTTTTCCAGAATAATCATTCTGATTGTGTGACCAAAATTGAAGTTTTTCCACTCAAACTGAGTTATGAATAGCACAAAAGTATGGTTTTCAAAATATTCCTGAGTATATTTGTTAATTATCTTTTGCATATCTTTCTGTTGTAAGGAATGTAAAATTTATGTTTTATGGTAGTCCATTGACAGTTTTAAAAAAGACGAGTCAGCATCTTTAACTATAGGTATGGTGGTCTATTCAAAGAAAGCATACAACTTATAGTTACAGACATTTTTTATTCAGTCACACAAATGCAGTTAATTTATAAACTCCAGCCATTCCGGTTGAAGATCTAAGTAAACCACAATATATATATAATTCAAGGCACAAGGGAAAAATTGAAAAAACAATCAATTTTGTGTAGGTATGCAGACTAACTTCCTCAAATGAAAGAACTAAAAATCCCTGGCAGGATGTAAATCTCAATCAGTGAGGGACAAGTCTGATTGCTGTCAGTTACCTTAACCACTTGATAATAGATGCCACTAAATGTTGATCCAGTTAGTGTTATAACAATCTGACTAAAGTTCAGATCTACTTATTTCTTTTTATAACATAGATCTGATTACGACCGTATATGTTTCGCCTTCTTTATAATTCGGATTTCCTAGAAAGCTATTTTTAGCCATGCAATGAAATCGGTTTATACCGTTATCCGTGGAAGTTAAACTAATTGTTGATTTTTGTTTGAAGAAATTTTTAACAAATTACCTTGAAATAAAGTCAATTTTTAATGGGCAAGATTGTTTTGCCAGTTTAGCTGTTGGCTATATGGACAATGGTAAGTTTGTTCTCGAAGTCATGATCGGACTGTTTTCTACTCAGAATTGGTTTTCCCAAGACTAAA